CATGAACATATCTTTTGCATATCATGGTTTTTGTTCAAGTTGTTCAAGTTTATACAAGATAATTGGCTTATGATGAGGACTTTTGTACGCACACATTCATAAAGATGGCGGACGATGTTCTAGAATAAATTATAATGAATCTGACATCATTGAATAATCACGTGACATTATTATTTGTAAACAAACGAACATGTGTGGGAACTTTCCATACCATTCAAAATTTTGGATTTTGTTTACAGATTTTGCAAAAGAAACTGAATTTCCACCTATTTGACTAACCAGAGAGACTAACCATATTTTTGTATTAAAACTAATAAATAATGGAAATCCAGCATCTTCCATTTATTTCTGGAATAGTCCATTGCACCCTAATACGTCCATGCAACTGTGTCAATACAACACCATCATCCATATAAATAGCTATAAGTCTGCATGAAGCAGCACCTTGAAAATATGATCTGACCAAACATGTTAGATACTTGAAAAAAAAACATGTAGTGAAGATATTGGGGTTAAAATACATATATATGGTTGCATACAAATTTGAATGCCTTTCCCCTTCATATTACATGTATGTATAAACTACGTGTATTTTTAAAGTGCACATTGAGTGCTCCCAAGTAAGGAGTATTATGTATGTAACACTCAGAAACATGTCCATTTCCCCAAACGTGTCCATATGTCAAGACGTCAATGAACACCAAAACGTGTACTCTTTATGAAGGCTCAAACGTTCTATATGAAGCTAACACGTCTCCCTTTTATGATTTCTTAATCGTGTCCACCGTCGTTATTAAATCGGGATTTATAAATTAATCACTAGTTGTTCAAATATAAATCCAATCGATATCATTAAAGGAACCTTCCTTTTGTTTTGCTGTAGAAATGGAACAGTTATTTTCTAAAAGCCCAGAAACCCCTCTTGCAGGAAGCTGTCCATGCAATACCCTGATACATTATTAAGACATTTAGGCATCGCTGCAGTATATTGGTATAAAAGAATTTTCCATCATCTGTTTGTTTACGAATTGATGCACGTGATAACGCTATGGAATCCACCTACAAAAAATACGCAAGTTTTACAATTCCTGCCTTAAAAGTAACAATCTTTGCTTTCTTACAATTTTTAACCAATCTTTATTAATGAAATTTTGTGCTTCCCATATATATGAGAAACCACAATTTTGCAATATGTTTTTGACAGAATCCATTTAGTCTGCATGTTATGGTGAGCGTTCATATGGCGCAAAAGTTGATATAATATAAAGGAAAACTTTGCTTGTTTGCCGGATATCAAATTTGTCCAAAATAATACTGCCCGAACTTTTATATCTATGTCGACCTGATGGCGACCTAGTTTCCCGTAAACCATGTATTTTGATGTTGAGGATTTCAGATTTAAAAGTAATTTACAGAATTTTAAATGTATCTTTTCTCTTATATCATTATTATTAACCCCCCATACTTCGCAACAATACAACAGAATGGGCTTGATCATTTGGTCAAAAACATCAAGCTGACATTTTACAGAAAGCTAATACATCCTTCCTATTTTCAGTACTTCGTACATTGCTTTCATGGCCTTATCGGATAAATGTTTTTTGTCATTCCCTGTTGTAGTAAAAACAATTTCCAAATAGTTAAACTGCTTTGTCAACGTATATTTGTTCCGGCTTACAGAAGTTCCAGTGTACTCTTTGTTATAAACTATGCCATAATATCTGTTCCTCTTGGAACAAATATTCTATAACCTCTATTCCGTAAGGAACAAATACTGTAATATTTGTTCCAGTGGAAAAAGTATTACAGAATATTTTTTCCACTTGGAACTTATATAATGAAGGGACTTCTATTTCGTGACAGCTTTGCTATCTCAATGTTAGTGTCAGAGATTTTTTGGCAAACGCCCAAAACCAAACACCAAGGTTTTGGTTTTGTCAACGTTTACCTCCAATTTCCAAGCATTACAATAATCATGGAAGGCATTAAGTTGCGTCTGCAGGTCCTGTGGTGTTTCGGCCAACAACACCGTGGCATCTGCGTATAATATAATAAAAAACTGATATATATAAATGATATATTTCTAATTCTCTTTCCATATCTTCTGCTACAGTTTTAAGTCCTGCAATATTTTTTACTGACTAAGAAGTTTTCTAAGTCATTTAAAAATAAAGAAAACATGAAAGGTGATAGGTTTCTCCTTGTCGTACACCATTGTCACAAGCAAAGTATTCCGAATTACAATTATTATATGATATACGAGATTTAATATCACTGTACATATTCAATATTACCTTATACATCTGTGGAGCAAGATCTGCTTACCCTTACGGAGCACCTGAGATCACCCTCAGTTTTTGGTGGGGTTCGTGTTGCTTAGTCTTTAGTTTTCTATGTTGTGTCTTTTGTACTTTTATTTGTCTGTTTGTCTTTTTATTTTTTAGCCATGGTGTTGTTGGTTTGTTTTCGATCTATGAGTTTGACTGTCCCTCTGGTACCTTTCACCCCTCTTTTACCATTTATATTATTCCATTACATTTTATAAAACAAACCATCTCGCCATACAGTGTCAATAAAGGCAACAGTAGTATACCGCTGTTCGAAACTCATAAATCGATAGAGATAAAAACAAATCCGGGTTACAAACTAAAACTGAGGGAAACGCATCAAATATAAGAGGAGAACAACGACACAACAAAAACACAACATTAAAATGTAACACACACAGAAACGTACTATAATATAACAATGGCCATTTTCCTGACTTGGTACAGGACATTTTAAGAATAAAATGGTGGGTTGAACCTGGTTTTATGGCATGCCAAACCTCCCGCTTTTATGGCAACGTCAAACACAACACCAAAACGACAACATCACATGACAGGACCACAATACAAATAAACGGGAGAACATATAGGACAAAGAAACACACGAATAATAGCTAGCAGAAGGTACTAGGCTTAAAATTCAATACGCCAGACGTGCGTCTCGTCCACACAAATGCCTTCACAAAATCTATAAAAGCACAATATAATTTCTTTTTCTTACATTTGAATAATTCGAAAAAAGAATATAAGGTAAACATATTATTTGTAGTAGAATACTTTTGCCGAAGACCACTCTGGTTTTCTTGTATGATGATTAATTCGTTTGAAAAATCATTTAGTCTTTTATTTAAGATTGCAGTAAATAGTTTTCCCAAGCATCTAACAATAGTGATTGGTCTATAATTTTTTGGATCTTGAAAGTCGTCTTTATTTTTATATATAGGTTTAATAGTACGAATTAACCAACATTTATCGAATATTATATTACAAAGTTTATCATAAATGCATATAAACTGGTTTAATGTGCATTTTATGTATTCATTTATAATTTCGTCTTCTCCACAAGCTTTGTCATTCTTCAGTTTCTTAATGCACTGAAGATTTTCATTTTTGTGAAAAAGGCGAATTTATATGTTCATTTAGCTCCTCACGTTGCATGGGATTAATGTCGGGAAAACGCACACTTTGGTCATCTTCCAGTGCAGCGTTCAAGTTTTTAAAAAGTGTAATTTTCCTATATCAATATCAGGTTGCTTTTTCCTCTTTCTGTGATTTAATATTTTCCAAAATTCTTTTGGGTTGTTGCCACGCAAATTTGGAATTCTGTTTGTGAGATCATTTCTTAAGTTTCTTTTTTTTTGTTATCGAGAACCTTTTCATAAGTTTTTTTGGCATTTAGCATGTCTGAATGGTTTTGACAATTATTTTTCAACTTTAAACGTCTCTTTAATTTTCTGTAATTGTGGCGTGCAAATTTACATTCTACATCAAACCATAGTTTATTCTTATTTCCATTTTCTCCTTCTTTGTATGCCGTTTTAAAATACCAAAAGTTGTCTGCCCAGACCTGACAAAAATGTTACTTAAATCACCTATAAATTAATTAACTACATTTTTATTACCATCATTCAAACCAGTATTACTAAGTTTGTATTCTAATTCTTCATTTTTTTCTATATCAATAGTATTCTGAAAATCATTCATCCTTTCAGAATCCGATCTATTTATTTTCTTAAAAGTATTATTGTGACTATAACAATCAACATTTTCTGCATGGTCATTTACCAAGTTTTTATTACAATAAAAAGTAACAGAGAGTGGGTTATGAACATCTGATAATAATGTACTTGAATCTAAAACTTCAAAGTCCTTAAACGAATTCAGAAGTAAAGGACTGCTGATACAATAATCTACAACACTGGCATTACGACAAGTAAATCGCCCAATATTTTGATCCCTTCCCATTCTTCCATTTAGTATGAAAACGCCGTTACTTTTGCAAAAATTCAACAGCATATTTCAATATCTATGTTTACCTTAATCCATATTTACACGATTAATGGGGATAGACAGAGCTCTTAGAGCATTAACGGGATTTTCGATAAAATCAGCCAAATTATTCTCACCATGTTCATTTTCATTTATAATTACAAAATCATCATCACACCCTGTCCTGGCATTAAAGTCGCATAAAAGGCATATATAATTTGAATAATTTGAAAAGCGTAAGTATTCTTGTTTTGATTAATCGCTTCATCTGAAGGATACTTAGTATATTCCGCAGGTATATAAACGATGCCAAAAACAACGGGTTTATCTAAATGAAAAACTTTCCCGTTAACTTGAAACCACAGGATATACTTACAATCTGTTTCTTTAATTTCTATCATGTTCTTTTAATTTTCCGCATAACCAACTATAATACCTCTTGATCGTCTGCTAGTCACCGATATTCTGTTTTTCATTTTAAAGTAAAACCAAGGAAAATTTTATGACATCAATATCGTCTATAAATTCTGGATATTGCATACTTGACTTAATGCCACAACAATTTAAACATAAAATATTAACTTAATGACCTGACCACTATTAACGGTACTATTTACACTCGATTACACGCCCACTAGTGTCTTAGCAATATATACTATTTAAGTCAATATCAGTATTACTTACACGCAGGTAATTGTCATTTAAATCACCATTTAAAACAAATCTGAATAGAAAATAGCAATGATTTCTGAATATAGATTATATATTTCAACTGCAGTAAAATGGTCTGTTACATTCAAATCATTACACAGTTTAAAGTACGACATTTTGTCTATCTCGCAAGATCGTCTATTTTCACACTGATCAACATTTTCAATAAGTTTAACCTGATTGTTTGATCTTTCGCCACTCTTTGATCATTAAAATCTACACGTGCATTATCATTATTAAGTAATCAATGAACAATACAGTTTATATTTTCAGATAAACAAATATGGGTATTTGTATTTGCAACATTGTCATTAATTTCAGTAGTATATTGTACTCCATGGCTATGCTAGTCACCATTTTCACTCATTGGTGGGGATGAATCTGAGCGTCTCATCTTTTTGTACGGCCTGTCCGTATCCTTTGGTTTAATCAGAAGAGAATCGCGATAACTGTAAGGATTATCACTACTAGAGTTACCACTTCTCATATCCTTATGATCCATGCTTTCATCAAGAATATATTGTTTGCCGTCTATAAAGATTTTATCACGGACAAGCATGTCTACCCGAATGATTGGCTTTCTTCTGGATAGGATATAATTTCCTCTTCGACGTTCTTCTATGTCACACGGAAACCGTTGGTGAATACTGAAGGGTGTGTTTTTTAGGTTTTTTACCGAACCGGTGAACGTTACCAAATTCGATATCGTGTTGTACCTAATTGTTCATATATGAAACTACAAAGTTTTTGCCCGACATCTTCCGTATGCTGTTCTTCCAAATTTTGGATTATTAAATTGTTCTTTATAGACATAGGACATTGAAGATCTAGAACAGTATTTGTTAAGCCTGTATTCTACTTATTCTATTAAAATGTGTACTCACCTGAAAATAGACAGGCGATAAAAATAATGAAGTTTATTAACTGAAGGTAACTTTACAAGTGACTACAAATGCGACAAAACATACCAAAGTCATGTGACTTTGTTTCCAAGTGAGGTACAATACAGGTTTATGACTTGATTTGACAGAGATTGAAATAATTGAGACCCCTTAACACTCTCGAAGCCATTTGAAATCTGTCGCAGGATATTTACGTTGTATAAGCGCTTATTGAATGACCGAGGGTTAATCATTGTTACGTAAGAAAAGCTTAAGAATTATATTCAGCTGTCACTATTTATTGTTTATCACAAGTAATATTTTAAACTAAATTTTCCGTGTTGGTGAAAATTCATTGACATTTAATAGTTAAATAGTTATTTACAACACAAACAGCTTTACATACAATAATCTGTACATGTTAATAAAATCGAGATATTTATTTCTTTAATCAGTTTGTTATTAAATCATCAAATTTATCCTTTGCCCATAACTTTATTTGTTAATAGTGTAAGTTAGATAAGAAGAAGTTACGCAAACAGTTACCCTATAACATATATCCCTCCCATCATTATATTTCTGAATCAATATTTCCAAACCGTCTCTAGTAGACATATAGGATGACAGCATTTCATCATGATCAGCCATGGATTTGGCTGATTTATAACTGTTTCTTGATAAAAGTGTTCATATGGCGTGCAAGGCGATTGAAATCTGTAACTGTGGCAGTTCCAAATACAATTTTTGAAATGGAACCAATTACAACTTTCGCTTTGTATCTTTGATTCAATATGTAGATTTTCTCTTGGAATAAGTTGGTGAATGGTATCAACAGTGGTATTTAACATTGGATGATATATGTGCCCGTACTGTAAATAGTAGGGATATCCCAAGATTTAGAATATTACAATGCTATAGTGTCTGGTCCAATCTCATCATAATGGAAATTATTCCACAAATATAGTAAGTCTTGAGTTATTTAAATCTTGAACTTTTATCGACATCATTTTAAGTTTTTCTTCATAGTTATAAAATGATCAACAAGTACCACGACGTAATCATGGTAATGCATCCCACATTAAAGAAATAATACATCATAATTTATGATTGTTAAAATTACTTGCTATACTCAGATTTGATTGATACAGTTTATAGTTGTAGACAACACTTGTCAGGAAAAAATGTTTTTTGTTGTTGAATAAGCTTATATCTCTGTTTTTCCTTTAAAATTCTAGATTATAAACACAATTGAGAGTGTTATCCTCATTTTTTGAACTTTGATGGTTTATCAATATAATAGCATATTACATCATAACATTTAAACATCAGCTGGTTATTAGGTCCCTTTTGGTCACATAGCTCCCGTCTTCCGATACTTATATATCATCGGCTTTCAAATGATTGGCTTTAAGCGTTCTTTTACAGTACTAATCCAACAAGTCTTATCAATGTAACATTACCATTTTACACCCCAGGTGATCATTGTCATGTTAGCTGTACTGTTAACAAATTTTCAAAGCTTAATAGAGACAAATCAGATTCACATTTTGAGATCAAATACAGAAACTTCAAAGCATTTAACATGTTTAATGATGAAATGTTCTTACAAGATTTGTTCAATCAACTATTTGATATAATACACGAAATCAATGACCCAAACGACGCAATGGACATGTGGTATTACTTACTTGTCAATGTTTTAGATGAACATGCACCTGCTTTTACTTAACGTGTCAAACATAAATATTAACTAGAATGGTATACTCATGGAATTTGTAAATAAAAATTCTAAAGAGATTATTTTCACAAAAAAAAGACACTGAAAATTATAAAAAAATTAGGAATAAAACTAGTCAATTAATTCGTTCAGCAAAAACCAAATATTTTATGGATGCCATTGATAATGATTAATAATTGTAAAATTCTATGAAGGCATTTGAAGGATATGAATTCCATAACAAAATAGGAAATTGACATTTAAACACACAAAGGAAAGTCCTTATAAACAAAAATGATATTGCTAACTGCTTACATCATCATTTTAGCACAGTAGGTGAGAAGCTTATACCAAATCCTCACACAAGTTTTGAATCTGAGAAAATTAATAACTATATCAAATCAAAAATAAATGATGATGTTAAAGGGATAATCCGCCAAAAAATGAAAATTTGATATTTTGTTCTTTATGTATAGAAAATCACATATTCATAAATATTTAAGTTTTATTCTCCTTGCAAAGATATCAAAATCGATTTTTGAAATTAACTATCAGTTCTCGACATGTCGCCCATCTTGACAGCATCCCCGATGTAAAAAGTCACGTTATATCTATAAACCACAAAATACTAAAACAATCAGAGATTACCGTTGTCGTCATTTAGGAGATAACTGTATTGCATTTTAAGTTCCGACGGCATCAATTCGTGATTTGATAGTCGCAAATTAAGTTTACTGGTGACGCGTTGGCAAAGTCAGTAAAAGGGTATTTGCGACCATCAAATCACCAATTGATGCCGTCAAAGCTTAAAATACAATATTGTTATCTCCATTCTAATGAAACTGACAGAAAAAAAGTCAAATCATACATTTAAAATCTGTCATACGTCGTTTGCGCTTGCGCGTACGTTTTCATAGCATCAATTGTGAATTGATGCCATGAAAATTGGTGAGGTTATCCAATCAAAATGAACGTTACAAAAGATGTTGCATTAGAATCAGTGTTAAAATGTCTTGTCAAGCGTACGGTTGTTCTGTCCGAAAAGGTTATGACAAAAGTATGACAGATTCCACAAAAAAAAACAAAATTGTATCAGACATTTGTGCAACTTTAAAATAACTGCAAACAGTTTCCTTTATAGCAAGCACAAGTTGGTGTGCGACGAACCTTTTGAGAAATCTTGTTTCGAAGGAAATTTGATGATATTGTACTTTTTTTAATAACAAAATAACCTATCAGTTCTGCTAACTTTAGTTTTTAAATACTTATAAGATAAGACCTCGTTGATTAAAAGGATTATAAATTTTATGAGGAAGTAAAATGAGAATTAAAAAGGTATGCTACTTTTTCAAATTATATGCATTTATAATAAAACAGTGCAGAATTTTTATTTTAATCTGTAAATATATTATATATATATAAAATTTATATGTAAAAGAATTACTCAAAACCTACAAATAAATTAACTGTTGCAAGTAATTGTATTTCCAGAAATTACTTGCCATAAGTAAAAGAATGGCTTACAAGTGGTACACGAATTACTAAGAATATTAAAAGAAATATTCAAAGAATTACTTACTATTATAAATAGAAATACTTAATGTGTATTAAAAAAATTATTTACTATCATTAAAAGAAATACTTAATGTGTATTAAAAGAATTACCTACTTTGATAAAAAGAAATACTTATATGTATTCAAAAAATTACTTACTATTTTTAAAGAAATACTTAAAGTGTATTAAAAGAATTACTTACTTTAATTAAAAGAATTACTTACTTTTATTAAAGGAATTACTTACTATAATTAAGAGAAATACTTAATGTGTATTAAATGAATTACTTACTATAATAAAAAGAATTACTTAATATATAGGAAAAAAATTACTTAGTATTTATTAAAAGAATTACTTAAGATACATTGAAAAATTACTTACATTTAATTACTAGGTAATTACTTACAATTACTTGGCATTACTAGCAATTACTCATTTTTTGACAAACATTTTTACTTGTTTTTTTACTTGATATGAGTAAAATGAATACTTGTTTTAAGTAAATTCAAGTAATTAATTTTTTAGAGTGCTGAGACGCAGTCCCCTGTATGCATTTTCAATACCGGCGTAAAATTAATTCCGTACACCACTGATTGTACCCAGATAACGAGTTTATTTCTTACGAAGCGTTCTTTTGTCTTTTTTTTATACCGTGGAAATTTGTAATTTTGCATCTTTTTTAATTATCACTTTTACAAAATTTTGTTTTTTTTATTTTGGCACAATTGTTTTTTTGAAAATATTTTGGCAAAATTTTATCGCCTGCTGATCTGCTAGGGGTGTTATTAAAACCCGGGTAATTAACTAATCAGATTCTTGCTTCATAAGAAATGATACGTTTTAATATGCATACTCGAAATGCTTTTTTCGTCACCGTACAATAACGAGCGCATACTTTTAAAGACGTCGCTTGCAACCTCGTGTTGTTGTACGAGTATTATTTCTATGTGGATATGCATAAAAACGAATGAGTTGATCAAGGAGACTATCCAGAAATATTAGCTATAGTTATGAACAGTATTAAGACAACCAACATCAGTTTCTTCATAGTGTCTTCTTTATAGGTCGCTTTAGTAAACCACAGTAATTCATTTAACAATGAAAATACAATAGTGAATGCCATTGATGACAACAATAAAATTAATGAATAAATAATAATAATAATAATGATAATAATAATAAAAAATAATAATAATAATAACACCAACAATAAAATAGTATAATTGAAAATAAAATAATAATATTAAAAATGATAATGACAATAATAAAAATGATAATGTTTTAACATATAAAAAATGATACTAATGAGTATGATAGTACTTCTATTAATAAAATAATATTTATGATGATGATGATTGACAGCATATATAAATGATTGATATAAATTAAATAAAAAGAAGGTCGAATAAAATATTTAGTCAACTATCTATACTTGGCTAAGATAAGAAGGTTATATGCCTCCATCCACAACTGATGAAAAAATAAACCGCTGAAGTGAAGGCCAATTACAGTTAATAGTTCATAATCATTTTTCGGCATGTACGTATCCTGGGAGGCCAATGCCGAAGACTGTTTTTTTAAGGAGAAACATCTGTTTCTTTTTAAATAAATCACTTTTTTGACACTGCATTGCACTTTATCCATCAAAATCAGTACTGTTCAGTAGCTTTTCAGACAATTTATTATGATGTTAGTGATACAGGTAAATAACAACTACTGAACAGTCTGAACATAGAATGAACAGATCTTAATTAACTGCTAGCAAATCGTCTCAACCGTACTGGATATACGCAGTGAATATGTCTGAAAACTGG